GGGGTGCAAGGTCCCCAGTTCTAGCGACTTGCACTAGATCTCTGGACATGGTGCCTGTAGCATCACATTTACTTAGAGGCCAAGATGGCGGATAAATCTCGACAGCCCATGTTTTTTATCGCAAATATCTTGCGAGGAAAGGAAGATAAACAAATTTTGTAAAAAGTCTCTGTAAATTTTCTCTTTAAAGAAACAGAAACAATTTTTATCCTTATGTCTTTAAGCTATAAAAACCGGAAAATGGACTTGAAACAACGATTACCATTGTTTGTAGAGAGGAATGCCCGTGTATCTTGTTTTACATACATATTTTAATTTCACTTTAAAATTTACTAGATCTAGAGCTGTGATAGTACGATAAGCCTCGTTTCCGTGTTGTGCGAAAGGGCAGTTACTAAGTTTCGCAATTGGTCCATATCCGCAAGTGGGGCATTAACTATAAATATGGCTGTTTTATGCCAACGTTGGAGTTTTATGTTGCAGTTTTTGATAAAAAACCGAGCTAATCAGAAATAAGTTGCGGAAAGTGTCGTAAGCGACAAAAATACGAATGCCCAAAAATTTTATTTGTGTTTCTAGTAGTCTAAGATTTGTACTTTTCATCTGCAAACAAGACGTTTCCAAGAAAGGTCCCACAAAAGGTCCCCCATTTGAGAAAAAAAATTCTTTACGATACATATATATATATATATATATATAATATATATATTATATATATATATATATATATATATATATATATATATTATATATATATATATATATATTTATGTATATATATTATATTATATATAATATATAATATATATTTATTATATATATATATATTATGTATATTATTATATATATATATATTTAATATATATATATATATATATATATATATATATATTATATATATATATATTAACATCGCTTGCTTACATGTGTTCTGTGATTGACGACATTATGAAACAGCATTGTCCAGACTAAACGGCATGAGCTATCAGATAGTATCATATTCTCAAATTGGTGTACTTACTGCTGTATGAATTCACGCCATGGCCCTCTAATCCACGGCCCCTTTTTGAACCTTTTTTTCTTTTTTAATATTTGTTTCAGTTCATTTACAAAATCTATTAAAAATAACATTTGGAAAAATTAATTATATCGCAAATAGGTTTTAGAAATATTTTTTGTGTTTAAAATATTTTTGGTGGTTCAGTTTAGCAAAGTTAAGCCACATTTTTGGCACTGTTTTTGCCTGTTGCTTTTACAACTGTTGTTTTGTTTAAACGAACAAAAACCGTACCTTGTGTGTTTTTTGGGGAGTCCTCCTGTGAAGGAAAAGAACATACAGCCGGTTAAAAATGTTCTTCATTCCGGTGAGGAAGTATAGAACCCAACTATTTTGATAGCAATGAGTGCATGGTTATTCCCTTTAGTAATGAATACTTATAAAGTTAACATGAAAGGCTGCCTTTGATTTTTAGAAGCCAATGGTTGACGAAACCTTAAATATACGTGCCTTTTTGAAATATTTATACATTAATCATAGATATCTCAATTTCTAACAACTTGAAACAATAGGTGGTTGTCGCCGGCTTACCTCTTCAGTGTTGGCAGGCACAGCCTCCACTTCCGGTGGTGCATCATCCAGCGGCTGGTAATGTTGAAAACACAAAAGTGAAATCTCAAACACAATGACAATGGTACACAAAAAACAAGAATTAATTCACATTAAACATTTACAAACTTATAAGCTTTAACATCAAAGCCTGCTTTTTGATTTTTATAAGCCGATGGTTGACCATGCTTAAAGTACGTGTCTTTGTTCAGTTCTTATAACATAACAGATATTTCACTGCCTTACAACGTGAAACAATAGGTGGTTATCACCAGTTTACCAGTTCAATAATTTTTTCATTTGCCTCTTTTTCAATTTGCTCAATTGCCTTATCATACATCTCTTTGTATTTTTTTGAAGGGGCGTATTGCCCCCGATGTGTCCAAGGGGTGATGTTCATAGCCTTGAGCTGACGGCTGTAAAGAATAATTTTCTTTATAATAAATTTTTTTTTGTGTTTTATTAAAAAAAGGTTTAAAATAAAAGTGTGCCTTACGTCTCCCCAGTTCCAAAAAAGGTCACAGTGCCCATTCGCCAATGCTCATTTATTTTTGTTATCTGTAAAAGCAGACTGAAGATTAGAGTACAAAAATACTGTACAAAACTGTTTCTTTTTCTCATACAGTATTGTATACTTACCTTTCCGGGCCAAGGCCTATAACCTTTCGTCTTTCCCCAGACAAGATCATTTAACTTGTAATTGAATTGGGCCGGGTGTTTTTTTGTTCTGGCCATTTCGGTTTCTATTTTCAAATAAAAGAACGCTACGTCTGTAACATGGTGCTACACGCGATTAACTTGCAGTTGTAATGAATAATTACGTAAAGTAAATCAGTGATTTTCACTGACTTTAAAGATGTATAGGGGTAAATGTGATTTAGTTAATTCTGCCTATACGAGAAAGGTCCCTTTTTGGCAGCGAGCCCTTCTCAATGCGTCTTTTTGTCAGCGCGGCCAATAGTTCCCCGGCCTTTGTCTATACCACGAGGAAATTGCAAACAACATAAATCTAAATTCGCATTTATTCACATTTTGAATTCGCTTTATTTGTATTTTTAAGATATACGATACGTTTTCGATTTTCGCGCGTGCGGGCGAAGCGGCTTTTAAAACCGTGCCGATGAGACCGTGACGGGCTCAAAAACAAAGCGCGCTTTGCCTGCGCAATGGAAAGTTGCCTCTACAGCGCCCTGACCGTATTGAATTGAAAGAAAGATTTGATTGGAAGTTAATTTATGCACAATTTAAATGACACAGTTGATATAAAAATTTTCATTTCAAACCTATTTTCGTGTTCATTAAACAATACAGGGTGTCCCAAAAAAGTACCCTCTATTTGAATTAGACCTTTTAGTTTTAACTCAAAGTTTTTCCCGCATTTTAGTATATGCATTTTTAGACCTAGATATAAAACTAGATATCCAAGGATAGTGCAAAGTTTCTATGCCCTGTAATACCTAAGCAACCAAACGTTTGTCCCAAGATAAACGTTTTGACTTATGCCAGTGAAAATATAATGAACTAGCTTAAACATTAATCAACAGGAAATTACTCAAAGTATAGAAGTTACGTCACTATTAAATTATGATTTTAGTTGCTCATGTAAACCGGGCGCGATTTTCTCAGTTTAGTCTCTTTTCTTCGTCAAACAACTGTGACTACATTTACTATTTTTACATGATGACAACAATTTATCCGTCATTTCACAAGAATAGACAAAGTAGTTGATGTGGATGCTTCGCCGGACGCGTAAATCGATACAAAACAATATACTTATAATCAATACTGTATACCGCCAAAATGATTTGATTACTGCACAAAATGTCCGTTTTGTATAGTATCAATTAAATACTGTATGCAGAATATCAGGTATCGACTTGCTATCGACATAATATATATTCGTGTTAGAGATATATCAATACATAAACAACACAGCGCCTCTTCTTCCTAACCTTTTACAGTTGATTTCATAAAACTTTGGCCGCGCCTAATACGACTTTAATTGGGAAATTTGATACTACGAAAACAACTTGTGAATTCATTATCAACCGGCCAATCAAATAACCGTAATTTTCATATCAAATTATTAATTTTCGTAAAGATCTTCCGAACCAACTTCGTAAGCAAATTTGCTCTGTGTTATAGCTTTAGGCGTCGAAAACATGTCAGTTTTAGAACACAAAAAGGATTGCGCAGGAGATGAATCTGAGCTAAGAGCCTGGATTAATAAATTTAAATTAACGGAAGCTAGAACCCAAACAACACAACAAAATTTATGAGATACTAAAGGGAAATGAGTTTACGTCGCGACTAAAATTGAAGCTGGTCCACGAGGATGAATTAAATATCATGTTCAATACAGGTAGCGCCGTTAGTAGTCGCCGTTAGTCTCAAAGATCAAGTCGAAAGCTCGTTGCAGCCAAGACAGCGCAGTGGATATCGAAAAAGCTGAAACATCGAAAACAAATAAAAAAGTCAGTACATACGTATTTTGGTCAGTAGCGTAGCCAGCCTGTCGATTTGTCCCGTTATGCTAATATTTTCGTGTTCACTGACTGTGAAAACAATAGATTTCTAAAGACACGAATGATTATAATAACTCGAAATTTACATAGCGGGACAAAATCGTCAGGCTGGCTACGCCACTGATTTTGGTATAATTTCCATTATGCTTACCTAGCCATTTAGTATATTATGTTTTCAAGTGAATTATAAATAATGTAAAATTGTTATAAGTATTTCATACAGTTTTGACTTATGTATATTCTTTCTATCATTTTATCATCTATCATTTATTGATTTACTTATTTATCTACTGTCAGACTGTTGTCCGTGCATCCGATATCAAGAAGAGAAGATAAAGAACAACTTACCCAGGCGAAGTCGGAACTCAAAGAAATTGAATTTCCCAGTGAGTCAATGAACGTAAATATTTGAGAACCTGCTGCAGTTGGTTGCAGAAAAAGCGTGTGTGGAGATTGACACCACCGGGGGTGGGACATCGTAACCAAGCCACAAAACCATGCGTATTAAATAAATGTACCGAGTATAGTTACTGTGGAATTAAAGAGAAGCATCCAGAATTTTTTTCAAGGCTTAACTCTTTGAAACTTGAACGGAGAAAAAAAGAAAACGAAATTTTAGAACTTGAGAGGCAAATAAAATCAAGGCAAGACTTCTACACTGGTAGTGAGTTTCAGTTTGTTAGAAATCTTACACCACGTATGTACAATGTTGATCCAACTTATAAGACAAACAAATGTAAGCTAATGCGAGACGTTCGCTTACTGCGCGAGTCTCTTGATGGAAAAATACCACCAGTTATTGTGAATGATGCTGAACAGTTGGGTTTACTTATAGGAAAACTCAGGAAAATAAAAAATATCGCGGATCGATGACGAAAGCGCGAAACAACTCCCAATGTGGGCTGGCATGTCCGATGGAAAGTGATTCTGACGATCGAAGTGATGACCATCCTTTACGACTACAAAAACCCCGCAGCAATATAAATCCGGCGTCGACTAGATCAAGTCAAAGTACAAAGTCAAATAAAACTGTTGATTTGTCCTGCAGCAAGTCATCAGAGAGCGAGCCTATGGCAATGCAATTACTTTCATCAACCACATCCACCGACAGCAGCAGTGACGAGACTACATCGTCGAGAAACACAGAAAAAAGCATAAAAGAAAAAGTCGTAGAAAACAAAGCAAAGCCAGATCGAAGAAAACGCAAAGCCAAATGTCGCTCTAAACGTGGTCATAGTCGAGTGTATGATTCTGCATCAGAAGAGGAAAATGAGCAACCAGCAGTAAGTAAAGAAAGATATGTCAATCCCTATTTTCCGCTCCGTTTCATGGACCCTTACAAATTTGGTCCGCATCCAAGCACTGGATTGAGACAGTCGTTTTCGTTTGAACATGACAGAACATCGAGACAAAATGTCAATGTGCCAACAAGTAGCTCAGCCGTATAACTTTGTTTTGCACGGACCGGCCAACATTAAAGTCTGCAAATGTAAGTCCTGCGAAACAATAGCCGCCTTTTCCTGCTGCAAGTGTTTCCCAATCACTTACGAAAGCGGTAGCGCAAACCGCGTTGCTTGAATTGGGTTCAAACTCGACTCAAAGTTATTATTGATGAGATGTCGATTGTCTCCTTGCTTATATTTTCGGGTTTTTAGTTAGTATTTATACTCAGACTAGTTTTAATCGCATGAGACATGTTTCAGTGTACTTTGCTTGGTAATATTTTATTACATTGTAAAATAGTTGAGTTTTTAGCTGAGTCTTGTATATGTAAATCCAAAAATATAATACGGGTGTGCCAAACTGTCATATTGTCATTGTCAAAACCGAGGCGTATTTTCAACTCCGTCGCTGGCGCCGGTGTAATAATGGCAATGTGCTAGATAGAGTACATACATAGAAATTATCGTAGCTCAAAACCTAGAGAAAGGGAGGGAGGGGTGTTGTGAAAACTATTGGAATTGCTTCTACACAGCCAGGTTTAAAACGACCTTCAACTTTTCGGATCCCTTTATATAGGTATGCTGACTGTGCACGTTAAACCTGTTTTCCACTGTTTTCCATGAAGTATTAAATATTTCGGTCACAGGTATAGGCAACTCTGGTGCAAAGTCCTTCGAGAGTTTCCTGTATACTTTGGTAAATCTTATAGCAGGTAGCTCGTATTGTGCTGGCAAATAAGCTGGTAATAAGTTAGTGTCCAGTGGAGAAAGATCTGAAGCGACCGAAATTTGTTCAATCTTGTAGCTAAACTTGGCCCAGAGATGATATTTCCAGTTTCTTCCTCGTAAATGATTGATGTTGCTTCATTAGATCTGTTTGACATGTTTATTAATAATGTTTCACCATTTTCGTGCGTTATTTCACCTAAGGTGGTGCGCATCTTCCCTATAGAAAGCTTCTTTTATTTGGAATATATCTTTGCGAACTTTATTTCGTAAATGTTTCCAAAGTTCTTTATTACGCTATGATAGGCACGCTGTCTCTCCAAAATTCATTGCTTAATTAATGAAGTCATCCATGGCTTATCGGTATCATGAATTTGGACTGATTTTGCAGAGAGGAAATGATCAACAGCCATCTTAAGATCAGTCATAAAAGACTTTGTCATGCTATCGACGCTGGCATTTTCTTTACTGTCACTAAACCAATTATGCTGGCAGACCATCTTCCAAACGCAGCCATTGATGACCGAGTGAAGCGTTTTAGATGGCGTTTGGTTACCGATTCCACACAACCGACTTACGTCTATTGTCGGATTCCAAAAAATGACATTGTGATCGGCGGATCCTAGGGAAGTTTTAGATTCTGGTTTAAAGTATAACTCACTGAAACTGGTTATTACTAGGTCCAAAATAGACGTACCACGAGTTGGGATGGGTAACATGGGGATGTAAAAGTAAAAGTAGGTTTTCCGTGTCTAATTTGTTGAAGTCACCTAAAATTACTACACCGCACATTGAATAATTATTTTTTACTTCGTCTATTGTATCGAAAATGTGGTGAGTAAGATCTTCTTCTTGTTACGCAGATTTACCAGGTGGGTTGTATACAACACCAACAATCATACCGGTAAGGTGGCGTGAAAGCTAGAGTGGAAGACGATAACAATGAAGCCAGATCCACATAAATTCGTAAAGGGCACTCTCTAGGTCAAATCTTCTTTTAGAAGGTACATTATGGTTCGCATTTGCACAAACCCCTCCACTGCGGCCCTATATTCTGTCCTTACGGTACAACGTAAAACCTCTAATATTAATCAAGTGGTCATCATATGTATCATTCAACCACGTTTCTGTAATTATTGCCGGCGACATCTGTTGCAATTTAACCTAAAGTAATTGCAAGTTCATCTATTTTTGGATGAAGAGAGCGAGCATTACATAGCAAAAATTGAGGTAATTGCAAGGCTGTTCCTTGTTTATTTGTTAATATTGTCAAAGAACCTTGATAAAATTTCTTTTCTTAGCGTTAACTCTGGACGACTAATTCCAAGTTTCGTTGTCTCTTCCCAAGTCCAAAATCGGTCCAACGTGTGATTGATGGACTGGAGCTCGCCGCGGGACAGGAGTCTATTAGTGATTCTAACTTCGATGGAACAGGGTGGGTCATTTGTAGCAGGGAGTCGGTGTTTGCTCGTGGTCGGTTCTACTGAACTCTTTTCTCTGGTTTTAGGGCCCTTCGAAGGCGGGTCTTCGAGAAATTCTCGGGGAAAAATTAGATGGATTATGATTTGCCTACGCTTATTGCCGCCATGTTTAAGAGGATGTTGGCTTTTCGAGCTTTTATTTCTTTCATCGATTTTAGGACAATTTCGATATGCATTTGAAGGGGGAATTTTATTATAAAGGGGCTTTCTTTGCTCGTTCTGCTGATGATTCTCACGAAATCTTCGCATATGTTTCCGTTTGTACTGCTCTACAGGGTGTCTCAAGAACAAGTACTATCGTACTATAGGGACCAGAAACTGCGTAACCGAGTTTAATTTCTGAACTGCATTGTATTTATAACAATGGAGAGGACAATGTATTTCTAATCGTTTCCGTTTACTTATACAGGGTGTCCCAAAAAAAAAGCAACCACTTAAATATGCAGAACATTAATAGAGCTCTAAAGCGCAATAGGTAAGCACCTCTGGGAATTGAAAATGACTCTTAATCCTTCATTTACAATGCTAAAAGTCATTTTAGCTGAACTATGGTACAAAGCCGAACAATATTAATATTCTTGCATATTTAAGTGGTTGCGTTTTTTTTGGGACACCCTGTATATAGGCTGAATATTAATGATATGTATATATTATTTGCTGCAAATATAATTATCAAGAATTGCTTGTAACTTGCTTCAAAGGTCAAAAGTAAAAATTCGAACTCCGTCAAAATAATCGATGCGGAATAATGCTTAGAATAATTGTGCCAAGTTTCATTCCGATCAAACAAGTAATGATAGAGCCTTAGGGTTTTTTTAAAGAGCGTCGCCCCCTAACAACAACAAGAAGAAGATTTGCAGCGGTTAGGGACCAGTTCCTGGTCCAAAAACGAAAACCATTGAAATCACTCATTGTTAAAATTTGTATGCCGTGTTCACGAATTTCAGCCCGTGGGGATTTAATGCAACTGATAAAATGCTAAATGCTTTGTGTTGCTATACAGGGTGTCCCCAAAAAAAGCAACCACTTATATGTGCAGAACATTAATACAGCTCTAAAGCGCAATAGATAAGCATCTCTGGGAATTGAAAATGGCTCTTAATCCATCATTTACAATGCTAAAGGCATTTTAGCTGAACTACAGGGTGTCCCAAAAAAAACGAAAACTATTGAAATCAGTCATTGTTAAAATTTGAATGCCGTGTTCACGAATTTTAGCTCGTGGGAATTTAATGCAACTTATAAAATGCTAAATGCTTTGTGTTGCTAGAGAAAGGGGACATGTCGAAGGTCATGGTCCTTGATATACATGCACATTTAAATATTGTTATCCGTATTTGTAAATTGTAAATATTGTTAATAAATATCATTTTTGCGAACAAGCAAATTTTACTGCATCATATGCATGCATGAAAATGAGTATGGTAAACATTTATACACCTGTGGGTCCCAACAGAGTGCTTAGGCATTCAAACTCTATCAATGGCATTGTTATCGGTGATTTCAATAGTTTTCGGTTTTTTTTTGGACACCCTGTAGAGCTATGTGCTTAGCAAAAAGTCATTCGTGGCCATTGGCGTAAGCCAGTTGCTCTCGTGTGCGGGCGACTTTTCAGGCGACTTTGGTCATTAGTGCCACTTACGGCAAATATTTCGCATGTTTGATAATTTCTGCCTCGCGCGCCGAAATCTTTCGAAGCAATCTTTCTTGACATGTCGAAGGTCATGATCCTTGATATACACATTTAAATATTGTTATCCATATTTGTGAATTGTAAATATTGTTATAAATATCATTTTTGCGTACAGGCAAATTTTACTGCATCATATGCATGCATAAAAATGCGTATGGCAAATATTTATACACCTGTGGGTCCCAACAGAGTTCTTAGGCATTCAAACTATAACGGGTCGCGGGTCAACCAAAATTTTAACCCCTGATGCTACCGTATAATTGTCACTGACCACGTGTGTATTAATTGCTTTTTATAGATGGTTCCTAGAAGAATGAGCTGTTTAATCAAAGCTAATAAAGCTGGCTTTGTTCTACGACACCATCCTTCGGGATTAAGAAATCGTTGTTTTTACAGCTGTTTAACGGTGCATTTAGAACAGAACGAGCGAGTATTTGTTTATACCGGAGAAAGATACCCGTGGCAACCGGAGAAATACACCTGTGCCAACCGGAACAATTACCCGCGCCAACCGGAATAATCACCCGCGCCAATTTTGTTCGACCCGCGCCAGTTTTGTTCGACCCGCGCCAGTTTTGGTTGACCCGCGACCCGCGCCATGGGTGATTTCAATAGTTTTCGCTTTTTTTGAGACACCCTGTAGTTGATTTTCAAAAGACGGTCGCATATGTTTATTGGCAGATTGTACTCAAGGGACTGAAGATTTTAACACAACAGGCTCATCTGCAATGCTCGAATTAACCAGAATTACTCGTTTAGGCGTCGCTTTGCTAACAAAGTCAGAGGTTCGTTTATCCACGTGGCGGCCAGCCAAGGAGGTTTTTTCAGACATAAGCAGTACAGCCTGATTAGGAACACATGGTTGATTTATGCTATCAGAGTGACCTCCTAGCATGTCTCTATTATTGTCATAGATTTTTGTAGTCGAATTCTCTTCTCGATTGTTTTCGATTGCATTTTTAAATTCCGTTGACTCAGTGGGCCCATTAGCAACATGACCTTGGACGTTGTTTTCAATATGTAATGATCTCGTCTTCACACTTAGACCTGGTCAAAGTCGACTTATCAAAATTTCAGGGCCGTAGCTAGAAGCTTAGTTGGGGGGG